AGCTCGCACAGCCCCAGGCCCCGCGCGCCGCTTCCGCTTTGTTCCGTGTCCAGGAAGCGCCGCCCGCCCCCGGCTGTTCCCGCCACGGCGCCGCCCCCCGCCGCTCTTCCTAGAGTGGCGCTCCCCCCGCCGCCGCCGCCGTTCCAGCGCCTGCCCTTGGCCTTGAAGGCTTCCTGCGGCAAATCCTGTGCCGGGAGCCCCCGCACAGCCGGGTGGAGGCACCGGTCCCACTTGAATGCATGCCTTGTGTCATACCTGGACCCCACAGCTTGCAAAGACCCATTTCTCCAGCTATTTAGCTGGTCTAATAAACAATGCTGCGCCTACCCAAAGAGCCTGGTGTGATGGGAAGCCCTGGGTACATTTGCAATGCACCCGCGTCCCACCAAGGGGCCCTGCCGGGAAGCCTCTCCTGGCCCGGCCCCCCGATGCAAGGCACCACGGTCACAGTGCAGCCCGGAGTTGTGTGGGACCAACTTGCCCCACTTGGCATGCCATTGGCAGCCGTGGCCTGGGTTGCCCCCACCCCATATGTGTACAGGGCATGTAGCAACATGGGGTTGCCAGACCATGTGGCGCCTTGCAGGGCCACAGTCCTCCCTGCAATGACGAATGTACAATGCAAGCAGTGAGCTCCGGGACTTGTCCTTTTTTCAGCTCAGTCTGACATGATGTAAGCGTGTGCGATGCCCATGCACTAGGGTTGCCAGCCCTCCTGGACTGCCGATTATGGTAGGCTCCCGGCCACTGATGACTATTGAAAGCAATCCGGGAGACTGATATTGTGAATGGGTTGAGCAGTACAATTAATGGCATTATGTCATGTTGGAAAAAGAAATCTGGAATCGATTCAGTCAGAGTTGGCAACCCTACCACACGTGTGCACACCTGTGGACACACACACAGAGTTTTATCCCACTTTCCCGTCCCGGCCCTGTCTTGAATGATTCTCCCCCTCTGAAATGGTTCTCGAGCAGGGGCGACCACTGCTTCCAGCCCTGCAGAGGGGCCAGATGAGTGGCACTGGGCAAGGCTTCAAGGCCGTGTGATCAGGCTCACAGAGCTCCTCTTGGACCTGGAAGTTTGGCAGCAGGATGAGAAGTGGCAGTGTTAATTGCTGCCAATCCATTGTTATCATCAGCTGTGGCACCAGCCTCTCACAGTTGAGGATGATCACTCCCACAGGTCAAGTAAAGGAAGTGGGAGAAGCCTGCATGTAACTTGCTTTACATGAAGAGGCCATTGCAGATTGGCAACTGCACAAATCTCAGTGGAAGAGAAACATGTATCCAGCAGCAAGAAGATCCAAGATGACTGGGGTTACTCTTGCACCGCAGCCTTCATCCTCCTTTGCAACCATTGAGAAGTATGCCTTCTTCATGCACCTGCTCCACCATTGAGGTCTTTATGTTATGCTGGATTGCTCTTTGTCCGATACCTCACCTTTGACCTTACTGCCATGGGTGACGCTACCAGGTGTGCAAGACTCCAGACAGTGTTGCTCTTAGGGTCATCAGTACACACAAGCCTCTCCACCCCATCAAAGTGGCAGTCCATGGAGAGGGCTGCCCTTCCAGGAGCTGTGGGAATTAATACTGTCACCACTCCCCCTGCTGTCAAATTTCCAGACCCACAAGGAGCCCTGCTGGCTGGATGAGACAGCTCCATGGGCTGCATCTTGTTCAGCCTTGTTCTTAAGGCTTGCATAGGACTGAATTCAAAGTTCCTATCCTGTACTTGCTCTGTTCACATCCTGCTGCTAATAGTACATTTGCTATTTTCCAGTAACATGTTACTACACCTGACATGCTAGCTTTATCAACAAATTTAGCTACTAGATTTATTTCATGCACCAATCATGTCACCTCAACTTAATGACCGACCACCGATGTCTCAAATATTCCTTCCCACTTCCATATTCCTTTAATATTTTTCCTCACATTTGCAAAAGTTTCCTTTAAACCTGACTCTTCCTTTACTTCAATATGCATTCAGGCTATATTTTAACAGAGAGCAGTGTCAGAGGGGTTAAGGCATTTAACTCTTATGGGACAAGTTCAAACCCTGCTCTGGACTCATGGTCAGAGGGTGCCCCCCTCAAGTGAACTAGTGGTTAATGGGTATGGGGTCATTCAGGCTGGGGAGTCAAAGGCGGCTGGACAGGACACAAAGCATGGTGCTCTTCTATGTGCAGTCACAGGAGCAGATCCAGGGGGGTGTACTGGTGCACTTGGACCCCCCTTTGATTCCTGCTCCACCCGAAGTTTAAAACCAACTGCCTGGCAGTGGCAGCAGCTTTTCTAGCCAGGCAGCGCTGAGGGAGTCACTTGACTTCATGGCTTCTTATAATCTAACCCATCCCTTCTTAGACCTTCATTCCACCAGTGTGAATGACCCTCTCCTTTTTAATGCTCCATGCTCCACCAATCAAACTATATACCTTGTTCTGTAATTCTGCTGTCTGTAAGCTGCTCCTGGTCATGAACTGCCTATTTCACAGCCCTGCAGATTGTTTTTGACTCATTCCAATGACGTTATATTTGTTTTTGTTTCAATCTTAAACTGAATAATACAGCCCTAGCCCCCTAGCACGTTAGTATAGCTTCTAGTTTATTTTTAACCACAGCAAAATATGTTGTTTTATGTGTGATGATGCACCTCACCGTCTGCACCCCCCTTTTCAAAATCCCAGATCCACCCATATACCCACTGACTAAAGAAACTGGTATACCTTAACTATGCTAGTCCAGTAAGACATAAGGGTTGGGAGAACTTTTGACTGGATGAATTTTAATTTGTCTGTGCACATTTCTCACACCATATGTAAAGTTTGTCCCTGCTTTTGTCTTAAGGCAACTTCCAAAACAGACAACAAACTGATGCCAACTTCTCATTTCCCTACTTTTCTGAACAATATATTCAGAAAAAAATGCGGATGAAGTTGGGTTTACAATAGTTGTTATTTTTATTTAAAGAGACTAAAATTATCAAAATTACTGCGTAAACTTATGGCACATTATAACCTGCCTACCGTCTGATAACCCCAGGTGACCTCTCTATATTTTACCAGCTACATTCTGTCACTGGGTCACCATTTCCCCTCTCCCCCCCACCTACCTGTCTCACACCTGTTATTTCCCACCCCCTCTGATCCTCACTGCCACACATTTGCATTTTCACAGATCTGTATTTTTGCATACCAGTTTCTATCACATCCAGGAGAACACAAAACTGCAGACTCTCCCTCCCCCTGCCTGAAGAAAGGTGTTTGTACCCAAAAGCTTGCAAAGAACAATTTTTCCAACTAGTTAGTTAGTCTAAGAAATCACATTTACCCAAAGAACAATGTCTGCACAAACTTAAAGATTTTGAAGGTTAAGATCTCATATGTACTGTAATATTTCTTATAAAAAATGTAAGATTCTCTTGTTTTCTTAAAGCTTATTCTGATGACTATTTTAAATATCTTCCTTTCTAAAAATAGTAAGAAAAATTTCATTAAAACATCTAGGGTGTTTTAGTTTCTACTCCAAGTTTTATCCATGCTGTTTCTTTGAGACCCAGCAGTTATTCTGTTGCATACCTACCTTGAAAATTCTTCTCACTTTCCTATCCTTCTCCATAATCTTTTAGCTGAGGGAAAATTATATTCCCTTTTCTCCAAAAATGGAGATAAGAAACTGTAGTCCAAAATATTGTAGAGTAGAAATGTAGTTGAGTTGAAATACTTAATTTCTCCCTAACTCCAAACCTGGTACACAAAAATGTGAAATAAAAGCTTGGGCTGAAATCATAGATGTTTGAGATGGAAAAGAATGATAACATTGTCTAGACCACAAGTTCCCAAATTTGCTTACTGAGTACCTACTTCCAGATTTACCAGCTCACCACATTCCCCTTCAGATTTTACCTCTTACATTGTATATTTTAACCCAGGGGCGGGCAATTATTTTGGGTGGAGGGCCACTTACTGAGTTTTAGCAAGCCATCGATGGCCGCATGATAGGCAGCCAGGGGCAGATAAATATTAATTTTCTAAAATTTTTAGGGGCTCCGCAGGCCAGATAGAATGGTCTGGTGGGCCACATCCGGCCCCCGGGCCGCATTTTGCCTACCCCTGTTTTAACCCCTTAAATGGCAATTATTATTATTATAATGAAAATTAAATCTGCCATTACACTTTCTTTTACGTACCTCCCCCCCCCCGAGACCATGTACCACAGTTTGGAAACCCCAGTCTAGTCCATTCCACTGCCAGTACAAGGTTGTTCCCAACAGTACTTTTGGGGGTTTGTTTGTTTTTTTTAAATACAACAATGCATCACTTTTTTACATTACAAAGCAAAACTTTCATATTGGGGGTTTTTGTGATTAAAATGTGGCTCTGTAGTGTTATTGTGATTCTTGGGAAGGAAGCGTCTCTCTCATCTATACTATAAGGAGCTTAGCACACTTTTGTGTATTGCAAAATAATTTTCCAGAATTATAGTCCTGTAAATCATAGTTGCCTGTTATTTGATCTCCATTATAATTAATAAAAACACTACTGTTAGGTAGCAAAATAATTTTGTGTTTCACCTCCAATATCATAGGCTCTTATTTCCTAATTACACCATTGAGACATGTTATACTTCAGATAGTTCGAACACCACACATAAAAACCATGGCTCAGGCTGTACATATATTAGAACTCTTTGATGTATGCAAATGGCTCACAAACATTTACAACACATGTATATTAATCATAGGTGCTGCTCAAGTCAATCCAAAAGTTTTCTTGGTTCTCTGGTTAAGTTAGATATTCTCTAAAATGTGGTTATACATTTTCGTAACCTGATCATGCCTGACTCTTAAATGAGGTGTTATTAAAGTTTCAAAAGTGCTTGATGTCTGTGCAGGAAGGGACTTGAGGGTATTTTGTCGTCTGCACTCCCACCTTTTGATCTTTTGCTGAATCTAAAGTGCTCTGATAGTCTGGAATAGTCACTCCTTATAAACCAGGGGTCAGCATCCTATGGCCCTCAAGCCACATCTGGGCCACAGAGCCATTTTATCCAGCTTGCAGAGCTGAGGGGCTTTGACAGTTGGGTGGCAGGGACGAGAAGCAGCAGCTTTTGGAGTGAGAGGGGGGCAGACAGAGGAGTGGTGACTGCAGTTCTGGCTCCAGCAGCAGTAACAGCACGGGTCACATTGGAAGCAGCCTATGCTCAGACCTAAGCTCCATTAAAGCAGATCCCCCCACTGCAAAATTATTGCTGGCCCCTATAAACTGGTCTGTTTCTTTTAAATAAGGGAAAGAGTCTCAATGTCATTGGGTGTATCTATACGAGATGTTTACTGCATGGTAGACAAATTAGCTGCACAATAAATGCTGTGCATCTACATGTGTACCCCTCTTAGGCCGAAATAAAGTAATTTAAAATACAAGTACTATCATGCTGTGGAGTTTTTCACTCTGTAGCAGTACACATTCAGACACTGCCCTGTACTGAAGCATCCTCGTGCCCCAGCCAGCCCCTCTGCATCACTTTGAGCCAGGGAGAGCAGCATCAGGCTGGCAGGCTGATCTCCCTGGGCCCCTGCCAGTGAGGGCTGTTCCACTCCACTCAACATGCTGTGATCCCAGGTGGATGCTCAAATGGCACACCTAAAGCAAAGTCCAGAGTAATAAGTTCTTGAGTTTATTGCTTTGCATAAATATGCATGCCTATTCAGGGCCAAAAGAATAATGTTATCCACTTTACCTATATTTTCCATTTTCTTGAACAGACAGTATCTCTGTCTAAGTCTTCATATAAATGAGTAGATCTGAAATGCTCAACAGGGTAAGCCCTGGCTGGCCAAATTACAAAGAAAAAAACCTCCCAAGGACCGGAAAACATTTAAGTGAGTGATTTATAATTGTGCACAATCCTTTTTTTTTTTAAATGCATAATGCTACATGTTCATCTGGTCATTTCCCTTTCTCAGCAGAGATGCATCTAACACTTAGAGCACTTGTACAAGTGATGGGGGTTTAGTCCTCAGGGTTTCATTTTATGCCCCCTAAATTGAAATGGTGGATTTTAATTTTTTTCCATCACTGTGTACATGTGACCAGTCAGAAATCTGAAAAAATCCTCAGTGCACTATTCACAGCAAATTACTGCAGGGGTTACTGCATAGCAACCCACCCCCCGATCTCTTCATACTAAATTACAGCATGGGATGCCTAAAACTCACAGCACCCTGATATGTACAGATCACTGAAAGTTGTGCTGCTTCATTACTTTGGATAATTGTCATTTCATTATTTTCATTATTTTTTACACATATTTTTCTTTTTTTTACCTACATGTTTAAACATTTTTATATTTATTTTGTTTTTATTCTTTTCATTCCTATCTTTATTCTTACCTTATTTTTAAGTTTACTATGTCATCAAGTAAACTTTATTTCATGTGTAAACCCACTTACTTTACTCGAATGGTGCACAGCATTATAATATGCACACAAAAATCTCCCTGTGCATATTGGTTGGGTCTTCACACATACTGGGAACACTTCCCGCACATATTGGCGTGTTGTGGTGCTCTCCCTACATCAACTCACAGGGGGTCCCAATCCCCACACAGGGGACTGGGTGGTTTATGCTGAAAGAGCCCCTGTGTCTGGCAGCCACACAGCAGTGCTGAACTGCTGGCAGGAGGGAGGGAAGGACGGAGGAGAGTGCATGGAGTCCAAGTCGAGACAGCCCCTGTGTGTGGCTCTCCTACTCTCCCGCCCCCCAGCATGGGTCTGGTTAGCAGCATCTGGGCCCCTGGAGGCCTGCAGAAAAGAGACAGTGGGTCTTTGTTGTGTGATGGGCCAGCTGGGACCATGACCCATCACAAAGAATGTGCAGCCCCTCAGCTAGACCTGGCCTCCCTCGCACTTGGGCACCAAGTGGGGGTTGCATCCTGCCAAGAGACAGCACGGGGAGGGGTACAGGTGCACCCCTCCATGGCCCTGCAGCCCCCATGTGGTACCAGCTCCTAGGGCCCTCACTCCTGACACACATCCCCATGCCCCCCACAGCCCTTCTGGGGTCTCTCACTCCTGACCTGCATCTCCCTGCACCCCCAGCCCTGCCAGTGCTCCTCACTCCCAACCTTCAGCCGCCTGACCTCCCCCCCCACCAGTGCCTCTCACTCCTGACCTGCAACCCCTTGCTGGTGCCCCTCATTTCCAACCTGCAGTCCCCTTCCCCCCAACAGCCCTCACTCCTGAACTTCAGCTGCCGGTGCCCCTCACTCCCAACCCGCATGGCCGTGCCCCCCCAGCCATGCTGGTGCCCCTCACTCCCGATCCTCAGCCCCCTACAGCAAACAAATGACCAGCCTTTTAACATGATGCAGGGGGTCCTCTGGTGGGAAGGGAGCCATCAAGCCTAGGTATGTGCGCACAGCAAAAGCACCCAGACCGTTCCTGCCAACAACCTTGAGAAAACCCTTTGTCCCCCTACAAGGGGAGTTCTGTGAACCTAATCATGACCCCCCACCATCACTGCAGCCTGACCACCTTCCCCCACCCCCAGTACTAATGTACTTATGAGACAGACAGAAGTGTTGAAACAAATTTTCTTATTTTATTTTTAGAAACACTAAATGGTAACTCCTGAATGTTTTTTAGCATTCAGCACTGCTCCATCGGTGGCCTACAGAGCACCCTTTCCATCTGCAGCAGCTAGAAGGTGTGCAGCCAGGTAATTCAGCACAATAGCTCCCGACCACCATTTGCTTGCTGATCTAAGGGGGCACCAGTAACTTGTCCCCCATATGGCTTTGTGAGGCAGGGCAGGAGAGAGTAAACTGCATCTGCCATGATAAAGCAGGGTCATGGCAATACCCTGGATCACTGCACTGGGGAGCCTGAGCTCATATAATCCTTTTTCCATCATCCCAGGCAGTGACAAATTTCAAAAGACACACATTGCAAGTGCTGCCTGCCCAACTTGCATAAATGCTAGTGAAGCATCCTTGCTGATCAACCACGGCTTGGAAGATCACTGAGGCAAACCCCTTCCTGTTGAAGAATGACTGGCTCTCCTGGGATAGGGATAGGACTGAGATGTGTGGGCTATTCAATGCACCCATGCAGTTAGGGAACCCCATGGCCTGGAAGCCTTCAACAACTTCCCTGGGGTTTTGGTGTCAGATAAATTTGTTTGCCATGATGTCCTGCAGCTACTAGCATACTTCACCTGGCCCTGCAGCTGGCGTACCTCACCCAGCCACGCTGGCCATGCAGGGAGCCACGCCAAACTGGTTTCCAATGAAGCAGAGGAAGCTGCTGGGGGCGGCCAGTTTCATGATGGCCATGGCCACCCTCTTTTCTGGTGCAATGGGGTGACACATGACAGTCTCGTGGCACTCAATGTGTAGTGACAGCATTGAGACAATGTGGAAAATTATGTCCCTACTCAGGCAGAAGGTGTTGATCATCCCAAGACGACAGCATGATGCATTCCACCCAGTTAGAGATGCTCACGTGTGCCCCAACCTTGTGAACATTGCTTTGTAGGTTGATCCACAGACCCTATCAGTCTCGAGCTCCACAGCTACCTCTTAAAGCAATCAGAGAATAACAATTTTTGGTTGTTTCAGAAATGAAGCTGTATTAGAACCAGTATGGAAATCACACAAAATTCTCCTTATCCCATTATCCCTCCCTATAAGTTGTGTTATAGAAACATATCACTTCCCCTCTTAAAAATGACCTTTAAATATCAATTTACACTATTATATATTCATATCAAAGCTAGTCAAGTCAGTAATAAGTGTCACTTAATGAAAAAGCATCACTTGTGTCTGTAGAGGGGTGCACACTGGGGGAAATGGTAGATGTGCAGGCCCCCACTCTAACTCATGGTGTTTTGACTAGAGCCACCCGCCCAATACATAACAGATGTTCACCTGTTGGGTGAGGAGGGGGGTGGTGGGAATTGAGCCCAGGGAGCCTGCCTGCAGTGGAGTAGACAACCCTCTCCCCCACCGTTGCCCCCTCTCCCAACTCTGGTGCTGTCTGCAAGAAGGGAGGGGGAGTGAGCAGGCTGGTGGGGGTGGGCACTGCAAGGCACAGAGGATCCAATCCACGCCCCCACCTCCAGCTCAGGCCAGGCAAACCCCAGCACACAACTCAGTTCCCCTTCCCTCTCCCTTCCTGGAGACAGCCCCAGAGGTGGGGCTGGGCTGAATTGCACAATGGATTGACTCTAGGGAAACACAAGTTACCTAAGGTGCTCCAAAACGGAGTGCCTTCATCTGATCTCTCATTTGATGAAGGTGAATTTGTCAGGAGATCAGTCACTTTAAAGTGCTCTGCAGCCATTCACGTGTGTTATGGCATGGAGCTAGAGCCCTTCCAGGGAGCAGATCACACAACAAATGTAACTTCAGTCTGCACCCTGAATGCCTGAGGAGATGTAATATATGAAGGAGAAGAAAATTCTCCAATACCACAAGCATCTACAACTCCTTAGGAGCATTTATTCCCAAAGCAAAGCCATGATTTCTGTAATGACAGCCTTTACCAGGTTTATGCAAGAAAACTATTATATTCCAATTTATTGCATAAACAGTGTGAATAGCATTGACAGAAGGTTGGAAAGGTAGCAATATATGCTGCCAATGTGAATTAATAGCACAAGTGCACTGTGTTTACTGGAAACTTAGTGTCTTGTCATCCCCCTACAGTACCTGCTGGCTTTGTAGCAAGTCACAGAGCTATCTTTTATCATTAGATACTGGAAATGTCCTGAAATCTTAGACCTTAACTGTACTGGAGGATTCTGCTAGAAGTTTATAACAGATAGCAACTGCCTCTGAAAAGGAACAAAAAATGTGCATACACCTCTGCAGCCTCTGGCAACTCCGTGTAGCTTCTACCAAATCCACATGGCTTCAATTCATCAGCTGTGCTGGTGGGATATGGAGTAGACCCTACGAAGGTACAATTACTATATGCACCTTCCATCAGCTGCTGGGTGCTGAAAGAAGCCTTCCTTCAGTTGGAAAGTTGGTGGAATTGTCCCAGCAGAAAGAAAGGATAGGAGACAGATGTGTGTGTAGAAGTACTAATAGCTTTTAGTATCACAAATAGAACTGCATGAGATAGGGGTTATGCAAAGACCACTGCACTTATTCCATTATTTGGAGACAATACAAGAACCTAGATGGATTAGAGCCATCTCCTATTTTTTAGCTGTTAAACTGGAAAGACTCCACATTTAAAGAAAAAAAAATTACCATCACAATAATAATACATTTCAATGACAGAGACAAACTAAGAAGTTTCCCATATGCATAATTTTTTTTATTTTTTATTTTGTTTATTCCTTAATCATTTTCTTCTCCTTCCTGTGTTCTAGCATTGCAAGTAAAAAAAAAAGTTTTATGTTATCAGCTGGGAATAGATAGGTAGAATTGTATGCATTTAACTGGATCCTGTATTTCTACACCAGTATTTTCATCAATAAGGCTAATTCCCGACAAGATCCAAAGAGAATCTTTGTCAGAAGAAAGTCATTGCTGTGAATCTGCCACTGTGTAATTCAAGGGTTGACACAAGAATAACACTAGTCAATATATCTTATTCCATATACAGGGCCGGACCAGGGGTAATTGGCGCCCTATGCGAACTGTGTACCTCAGTTCCCCCACCACTTCCAATATAGAGGAAAATAAGAAGTCTAGAATGAACTTTTACATGTACTTATTTGATATTCGAAATGAACAATAAAACCATAAAAACAAAAACAAAATATATTGATTGTTTCACACTTTTCATTAACCCTAACACAGTTATAACAGCTAGCCAGGGCTGTTATTTAGAATGATGTTCCTGTTATTTTGCTCTGCATATAATTTTGGTGCCCCCCCCAAATTTTGGCACACTAGGTGACCACCTAGTTTGCCTAATGCTTAGACTAGCCCCATCCGTATAGTGTATGAATAGCATTGATAGTAGGTTAGAAAGGTAATGATATGTGTTGTCAAGTTTTTTTGTAGCTGTCACACCATAAAGATTATATTATTTTGCTTGTACGAATCATTGTGTGTGTGATGTACAATTAAAACCATGACTAAGTTGTATCTGAAAGGAATAATAATTTATATTTTATTTTCATTTATGCAGGCAGTATGTTCTAATAGTTGCAGATAGATAATTAAAAGGAAACACTGAAGTACAAGAAAAGAAGAATGGACACACAACACTGTGGAAGACAGAACAATTATGGAATATACTAATGCAAGTCTCCAAATTAAGAAGATTGATTTTAGGAGGCTGGGGTGGCTGGTGCTAAAGAGCACAGTTGACAGCCCAGAGGTCACAAGTTCACGGCCATCTTCACGGCCATAGCAGAAGAGCTCATAGCACAGCCCTGTCAAATTTCAATGAATCTGGGAATTCTGCTAAATACCTTGTCACAAAGACATGAGGAAAAGAAAGGAAAGATTGACTTTAAGTAGAGGCAGATTAAGAAAAGATCCCTAAACATTGAGACCTATTTCCAGGGGCCTAAGAGGTCTTGATGAAGAGAGATAGTCACTCTTCTCACAGCCACATTACTACCATGGAGCAACTCCTGGTTTCACACAAGGCAAGAGCCAAATTAGATCCTAAAATTCTAGCCAGGTTGAAAAGGACTGTGTAAGGAGAGCAAAGCCTCTTGTAGGGGGAAGGCAACAAGAAGAGGAATTTGAGGGAACTCAAGAAAGGAGATCAAAGTGTTCAAAACGAAAGACCCTGAAGGAGCATTTTTTTCTTGGATCCAATCCCCCTGTGATCTTAATCACATTTTGAATTTAAGATGAAAGTTCTTATGAATTTTAACCTTATTTTATGATGAGCCAAATCCTGTTCATTTTATTTCAGTGGACCTGCTTTTGTAGATAAATGACTAGGATCTGCTCAGCGCAAAGGGGGTCATGACATAAAGCACTGTAGTCCCACTTAAAATCTCAAAATAGAGCTCAGATGGGATTCATGGTGAACAGACCATGTGCTGGCTCTCTGTACAAAGAATATTTGCACTCTAGGAGAATTATATTAGCTTGTCAACACAATAATGCATTCAACAAAACCGAGTGGTACGGTCTCATTTATCTCATGTTGCTGAAGCAATTCAATCACAGCCCTATTGACTCTGCATGATATGAAACCAGCTCTTCTAATCCTTCAAATCAATGTTTGTGTTCTCTTGTGAGAATTTTCTTTTTTTTTTTCAAGAATTAAGAAGCTAGATTTACATTAGGGCAACAGAGCATCCCTTTAACACAGGTGGGATTCCTGCACTGGAAACTGCAGGTGCGCTGCGTTTACAGTAAACATTGGAAAAAAGCCTGGTAGTTGAGAAAGGCATTTGTTACCGAACTGAAATATAATTCTGGCCTTTGAACATGGTGAGGCATTAGGAAAGGTTTTGGAGAACTCAAAGAACATCTAGAATTTTAACAGCTGAAAGGCATTCTTTTATTTCCTTATGCCCACAGTCAATTAAAAAAAAAGTCACATAGCTTTAAAAAAATCGAATTTACTTCTCTACTTATGGTGCTTACTTTTTTGAGCTGGACAATGAAAACAGGTGAGTCAGCATCCCACTTGTTTCTAGACAGAGTTTCATTTCCTGGTCTAGCACAACACTGTAGTGAAAGTGTTGCAAAGCTACAGAGTGAGGTCTAAATACAAGGAAGACCCTCTCCCTATTTTCATGATAATAAATGCTACATAAACTTTAATTGTAGAGTAGTCCATTGTGACCCACTGTGTTCTGACATTTTGGGCATGCTTATACCTTCTCCGATTATGCTAGGAAACACTGCAGTCAAAGCATGCCCTGCACACTTGTTTCCATCAAATCCTCTCAAAATGGAGCATAGCCACTGTTAGAGTAGCTCTGGGTGTACACCAGTGAGAACACCTGAGCCTAGATGCAGCACTGTGTGCACCCTGGGTGTATACCAAATAGCGGCCACATTACATTTTTTTCAGTATTTGCCACTCACAAAGCAGGTATGAGATAAAGAGGGCAATGTTCCCTAGTATGGCCAGAGGCTGGAGGCATGCCCTTTGAGGCTAGAAAGGACTAGTATAATTTTTTAGTGCACGTTAGGCATATAAAATAAATCCAAGAGCACACTTTTTTTTAAAGGCATGCTGATGTCATTATGACCTTTTTTAATTCACCCATGACATAAACAGCCGCCACTCTGAGAAATTTGCTTAGGAACTTACTCTTCTGGGAGAGTTTATCATGAAGACACTGAGTACGGGATGCTAGCTTGCACTTTGAGCCACTGAACATTTGTGACAGTATCTACACAATCATTCAACTTTTCACTTTATGTCCCACACTGCTGCTCACTACACTGGGTGCTCACCTCACCAAATTTGCTCATTCCTGGCAAATGGGGCAAATCCTGTAAATTAGACATATGTCTCCAAAAAGTTTGTACGTATAGAACACACTGATTGATAAGATAAAACCCCCATGATACTGCAGAAGAAATCCCTGGAACAGGCCATCATATGGAAAAGTGGGAGGTAGGGTTTATTTGTCCCTCAGGCAGTAAGAGCATCCTGTTGGCAGTCAGAGGAGGCACAGAACTCACAAGTATCAAAGGAATCCTCAGCTGTCCAACTAGAGCAGGGGCTATAACACAGGGTAGCATCAAGTCAAGTACCATGTAATTGCAAAAGTGTGTATGTGTGTTTCGCAATAATGCATTTTCAGTGCATTGTACTAGCTCTCCTCTTAACTTCCTGAAAAGGTCTCCCCTTGCAACTGAAGAACCCCCCCCTATAAAACACAGATTTCTCGTCCTATTTTTCAATCTGACATGCTTTCAACCACAAGAGAGCACTCTTCCCTTGGATGATCTCAAGAAAGCTGGAAAGATACCATGCAAGTTTTGCAAACTGATTGAGAGCCATTTCAGCTAGACCCAAGCAGCAGAAACAACAAAGGCTGCACTTGCATTTCGGATTTCAGGAGGAAAAGCCTTTGGCTAGTTTTTCAGATGACAGGAGATCCTTGGTTCCTGAGAGGGAGGAGTTCTGCCAATACTTTGAAGATCCCTGTAAACTTCGTAAATTACCCATCTTTTGGAGACAATTATATCAAAAGATGCCGTGGATTACAATACATGAGAAGCGTTTAGAGCCTAGAAGATTTTTTATGTTTGGTGTTAATTCTCTGGTCACACTTTCAAGCTAGGAGAAAAGGAATACAGGAACCCTCTTATTATCTTTTGAAATATGAAGATCAGAGGGAAAAGCTGGGTTTAAAAAAAAAAGTGTGGATTGATGATCCTCAAGACCTGTCTATAAATTAGATGGCATTCTGCATCTATAAAAGACCCAGACTTAGAGCTGATTCTCAGGCATACAGTGGACTTCATGGATCATTAGTTTTGCACTGAAATCTGGATAGAAGTTTAAGCTACAAAAAATAAAAAAAATAAAAAAAAATAGAAATAGGCTGTGGGACAGAAGACAAACACCAATACAACTGTTTCTTCCACACATGGATTAATACAAGCTTGGAAGCCAAATCTGGGAACTGATATTGCACTAGTGAAAATGGATAGTAACAAAGATGATGGACTACTGAACAGAATGTCACTCTCTGGAGCTCTGGCCATGGGTAGCAGCCATGTAACTCCACATGGGTTACCAGTAAGAGAACCATTTGGCGTTCCCTTCCATTTCAGTCCAACATATTGGGACCAAGCCTATTGCAGCCATGCAGGTAGATTTTCCTACATGCCATTCCCTGGATATGTAGGAGTCTATGATTATTCTTTTGAGCCTGCCTTCATTCGAAAGAGGAATGAGAGAGAGAGGCAAAGGGTGCGCTGTGTGAATGAGGGGTACGCACGCCTCCGAGACCATCTTCCCAAGGAGCTTGCTGACAAGCGCCTCAGCAAAGTGGAGACCCTAAGAGCTGCAATAAGTTACATTAAACATCTTCAGAGTTTGTTGGATTGTCAGCCTTTAGGGACCAACACCAAAGAAATTCTCTCTACTAAGACAACGATGGATACTTCCAGTGCTGGTTTAAGAAGGGAATGCAACAGTGATGGAGAGTCTAAAACTTCTTTAGCTTCATCTCCATACAGTGAGTTTGAGGAGACTTGCAGCTAGGAACCATCATCTTTGGAAGTAGACACTTTCAAGACTAATCAAAAACTCTGTCACTATCTCAAGCTGCATGGTTTTTCAAAATGGTCAAAATATATCCCGGGAAAAAAAGAAGCAGACAGGGAAAATAAAGGTATCCTCATTCTCTGGGAGGACTTTTCGGTATTGTTGCATTGCATATAACATACAGGCTGTAAGGAAATGACTCCACTGCAATTGCCTGTGGTGTTACTGATCATGGGTTAGATCACTGAAACTGAAACAGCTTTTAAAATCTAAACGCTCTTCATCTTTTAAGCTGTTTGTTAACATTTTGTATTTCACTCAGTGGGACAATGAAAATAGATCAGTTTCAGAGTTTTTTCTCCCACCCTATTAGTTGGTTTCTTGCCTAGTTTTCATGCACTGCTAAATTGATGCAAGATTTGGTTTACAAATAATATAACTAAGTGAAAGGTCAATTTTAGATTAAAATGTTTCACTGAAAATGTTTAATTCACAAAACCATTTCTATTAAGATGAAGTTTCTGGAAAAGTTTTAAAAACTAGAACCAATCTTTGGGTGTGAGACTATTTGGCACTGCCTTTTTAAATGCAAGTAGATAATTCATATTAAGCATTTTTTGGAGCTGGAAAAATGTGAAAGCATATGGGGCTTGTTTTAAATAACCGTTTTCAGCAAAAGAGTCTGAAATGTCCATTGTAACCAATATTAGCAATACTGGTAAATGCAAAATAAAGTTCTGTAAAATTCTACATAGAAAAATAAAGTGCTGGGGTGAAATTATAGATGAGCTGTCAACCTGCACATCTCCATTTATACAAATTACATTTGCAGATCTATTGATTGTGACACCTCTTTGATGGTCAGAGGTGAAAACATAGGCATTTTAACGTATGCTTACAACTATTGCTTCTAAAAGGAACTAACTCCACTAAAATAATCACCTTATGGTAGGTAGTTTTAATTTGAACCATTTCCACTTTTAAAAAAGTGATCATTTTTCCCCCATATCTCATCCAGTCACAGAAAGTGTCATGCTCCAGACTTGAATTTTGTTAGTGAGGCCACTCTGGGTTTATCTCTAGTGGCCACGTTCATAGAGGTTGTGTGTATGTAACCAAAGCATATATCCCAGGAAGACATTTTGTCTCAGTTTGAAGGCTTCAAGAGATGTATAGATTTCCCTTCCCTGGATCATTCCTTCCAACAGTCAAATGATCCTCATTGTTACACATTTATGGTAAATTTCTATTACAAATTTGTCTCCTATAGAAGTACTTAAATGA